GTAAAAAAAACCCTTGTTCAAGCATCACTTAGAGCCACTAGCTCCATCTAGTGGTTATCCATTCAAACCCTTTTCTAATTTTAATGCAAAAACTTAATCAGGAGAATAAATTACATTTTCTTCTGGAATATTACAGATATAGAATTTGGCATAGCTGTTTTCTAATATTTCCTGATGTCTATGTTTACATAATATTAAAGTAAAAATATCAAATCAATCTTTCCTAGAGGGAAATAAGGAAATGAACACAGGCATGAATTATTATACTAGAAACACGCTTGATTTAAAAAATAAATAAATAAATGAATGAGTGAATCAACTGGATATCAAAAGGTTCTAATCATCACAGAGGTGTGAAATTGGGGTAAATGTCTGGACTGTTTTTAAGCAGGATTTCATCTTACTGGCACTTCCACATGACTGCTTCAGTGAGTCACCACTGTGATCCAACTATTTGTACTCCTCCAGACAGCGAGAGACACAAACCAGATGCATTACTGAAAGCATAATTTAAAAATCCTCTTAGCTGCGCATGAAAATACATTTTGTTCTCCCTTTGTTGCATCGTGAAAACGACAAACAAAAAGGTGCAATATTAGTCATACTGGCAATTAGCAAACCTTCGGTGGGCTCAGTAGGAAGATGTATATTCTTATTCCTGGCAATTTGAAAAGCAAATTCACTTGCTTGGTAATTTCGCACTCTGACCAAAAAAGGTACATTAATTCTATATTGAAATGATGCATATTAAGTACTTTTTTATGTTAATACATTTTGGATGAGAAACAGAAACTGGGTCACAAGAAAGGTCAGCTTGTGGTTGAGATGATTTAATGAAAATGGGAATTTGAGCTGGCTGGCTCCAGCAAATTTACACACTCCTGGTGTATTTGTATAAAGAACAGAGAGGACATTTTAAATCTCCCCAAACTCTTTCCCACTGTGGAGGTGGTGTCGGAGAATACGGATTGAAAACCCATGAATATTTTTTTTTTCTTCAGACCAGTCTGAGAAATCTGCTTGAGCTTTTGGTATTTGCAGAATATCCTTTTCCCCCCCCCAACACCATAATAACCTGACATAAACCAGTTTAAATGGAAGAGATTTGAAATAAGCTCACAGACTGTATTTAGATTTCCAATGTGTATATATATTTATAACCCATTGACTGTCTTTTGCTCTTCTGATATTGGTTAAGGCTGGCACGGCACTGCACTGGTTAGCACATTGGGGGGAAAATAGTAAAAACAAAAATAATTACTTGCAATGCAGACACTGCCACAGACTTGGTCTCTTTCACTCTAACTTATTGTCATCCATCCATTTTCAAGTTGTATTTGCATGAAAATAACACTAGAGGGCACTAGTAGCATATCTTTAAATGAGCCTATCCACGAGTAATTTTTTTCATCCAAACTATTGAAATTTACACTTAAGCACCACTTTTTTTTTCTTGATGTGTAGAGACGGCTTTACAGAGAGCTGCCAAGCAGAAAAAGAAAACTATCCTTTTTAATTAAACTGCTCTGAATCTGCCACTGGACTCAAGGCACTTTTTCAACCGCGGTCGGAAAAAAAAAGTAGATTATTTAACATTGGGAAAAAAAAAATTCCAATAGTAAATCAAGTTTTTAAAATCTTACATAAGTGAACGGCCATAAAATGTAAATGTGTTTATTATTCATGAGAAGTGTCACAGTGACTAGTGCTGCGAAGTAGAGTAGAGAAGTGTTACTGCTGAATAATTTCATCGCTGACATTTTTAATAACAGTAAGAAGAAGTGGTATAATAAAAAAAAGGGGTTAAAAATGTATAAGTGCTACTATAGACTCCTTTTTGTTGCCTGTGGTGTGCCACACCTATGACAGCCCTTCCAGCAACCCTGAGGTGGATAAGCAGAAGAAAATGGATGGAGGATTTAAGAAAAGAAACAAATAAAATACATTCTAGTCAGATATGAAGTATTCCCTCACAAATGTATATTTAACAACCTAAAACTGTTTGTTTTAGTGCATCCCTGAATAAATGTCCCCAGTTATATTTTCCAGTGTTTTTCCATGGTTATGCCAAATGAAGCCAATTTAATCTGCCCAGTTGTATTTGAAAAAATGCTTCAGAAATGATCCAGGTCTCTATTTAAAGCTGGTATATTAACAAGAAAGCTGCTGTTTTTGGACCTAGGATCACAATCCTCTTCATAACTCTTTGACTAGCTGCCCTGAACCCAGACACGCAAGTTAAATCTGGTAACAGTAAAGCTAATGCACATATTATCGCATATCCAGATGGTTTTTAATAGCAGAAACCATTTAAGGTTTAAAAAAAACAAAAAAAACCAAACAGATTTATTCCATCTGTACATTTCTGTACTACTCTTCTTATCAATCATTAACACGTCATAAATGCATGTTTTCTTGCCTTTTTGACTCTTGTTTGTAAGGTTCATGAACCGTGATGAGATCGTGCACGTTTTAAGGACTGCTCCGTTGTATTAACGAGGCTGTAAAGCCTATCGAAATCAGTGTGGCTGAAGGATCCTAATTAGCTCACAGGACTCCACTTGCCATGATGGGATGTGAAAACTGTTAACACGGGGTTTTATCTTTCATTTCAGGGTTATTTGCGAAGAATAATCCACTGCGAGAGGGTGTTTGTTAAACTGTGGATTTGGCTCTTTCTGCAGTTCCCTCATTGAAATCTGACCTTGCAGTAGACGGCACAGTTTATACTGAGCTTTCTGCCTATTTTGTGCCCAATTTTACATGTTTAAAAAGTTTGAAAATTACACAGCCTGCAATGACAAACTTGCAAATATGAAACAAAAGAAAGTTGATCACAGTAAAAGATTATCAGCTTTCTCTTTTATTGAAAAATATAGAAGTTATTTCAAAGAAAGAAAAGTGAAGATAAATATATTAATATACTGTAAAACCAGAATATGGAACAGGGAAAGAAAACAGTACATACTTGGCATATCGCTAAAGCCAGTGGGGGAAAAAAAGGAAACATTCTTTAGCTGAACTTTGAGCCAGCTGTCTCACGCAGTTCTTATCTCTCTCGCTCTTTTTTTTTTCGCTCCCCACACCATTGCTGTCAGGGAATGAAAAACTTCTAAGCAGACCTGGGGCAGAGTGTGTTTGCAAATTCTTTTACATGGTTTATTCTGGCCTACTTAGGAGTTTCCCACAGAGAAACACAACAAATGCCCGAAAGTTAAGATCATTATGCTAAAATACATTAAGTATTTTAGCATAATTTTGTGTACTTTTCCACAATTTTCTATTTATGTCTTCCAAAATCTACAGCAATATACCGTCTGGTGTTGCAGACAGCTGTGAAAATGTTGCAATGCAAACACAATCTGACCACATATGTACCATATTATGTTAAATCCAATATTTGTCTGTTTGCTTAGTAGGATCTCATAGTCACACTGCTGGTAACAAAGCTTGTTTACTGTAATCGCTGATGGCACTACCTATATGTACATCATTTTATCAAAAGATAACAGCAAACGTCTTGGAGATGAACAAAAGGGATTGCATCACCCCAAACAATCCAAACACTACATGTTGCAAAACTGATCAACAGAAGACATCCTAAGATTTGGCCCATATACACTGAAATATAAAAAGAGGTCTATAATGCATATCTATACAGAAGTAGAAAAAAACTAAATCCAATGTGCTGCTAACATTACTACAGAAGCCCTGAGAGGCAAGTGAGGAGTTGAAAATTAAGGTGTTGTCTGTGTAATCTTTCAGAGTGATTTTTCCCCCCCACATCTGTGAGACAGGTGAAGAGAAAGGTTTCCACTAAAGTAAGGAAAAAGAAAAGTTCTTCCAGGGCCACATTTCTTTTCATTTAACTAACCAGTAGTTTTGATGCTGAAAAACCGACCAATTACAACCAGAATGTAACTGAAAAATGAAAATCAAAGTGAAAAATTACAATTAAATGTTTCCAATATATTTCCACCCCAATCGGCAGAGTGAAAACATGTTAGAAACCCAAAAACAAACTTCCTACAAAATAAATTTAAAATACCCAGGCATAAGAAAACATTTTGGATCATGCATTAAAAAAAGAAAAACAGACACCCACTTTTTTTCCCCACTCAGGACTTCTATACTTTATCCAACAATATAGTTAACATACTTGGCAATTTCCCCAGGATCGCCTTCAGTTTCAGAACGTCTTGCAATCTGTACGGGCACATAGTGTTCCAAAACATTACAACAACCCAGAACAGAACGGCACAGCATCCTGATTCTACATACAAAACCCTGCATCAGTGCCACAACAGGAAATTCCAAGATAACATTTGTCAAATGTGGCAATTAGTTTTTTTTAAAAACACGGAATAATAGAAGAAGGTCAGACATTAATCATGGATACAAGAAAGTAAAGTACGCACTCTTTCTGTGTAATTCATAGCTGAAAGTAATCTGGAGTAGCCTACTGAGTGAAACCAACTAAACACAAAAAAAAAAGCCAAAGGGAAACAGCCCACCTATCCGTTTCTGGAGCAGTTCCAGCTGGTCGGGGGCCAATATTCTCGCACATTTAATGAGTAGACTGGGAGAGGCCAGATGATTGGTTGATTTAATCATCTGTCCCTACTATGTGATTCTGGTTGGGTAAAGGAGTTGAGTATTATCACCTTTGGGTCCACTTTGGGAAGTAAATATCCTTCTCACTGCTCAGAGACATACCTGATGCCCATCTGTTAAGTAGCAGTCCTCTAATAACACTTTAAACATGCTACATCCTTTCTCTGCTCTCAGAGACAAGCCTGGACACATGTACAGAGAGAGGGAATGCTTTTGACAGAAGCATAAATGCTTAAATGTAATTATATGGTGGCAACTCCCTTCACAAATGTCTTACATCTTTCCACTGACCTGCTAATCCTACTTCAGCTAAGAAGCGGAATGAGAGGCATGACAGACACACATATTTTACCACAATCACAATTCCCGTCTTGCTTTTTTTTTTTAAAAAAAAAGTACAAGACACATAACACTTACAAAAGGCCTCTTTTTGACAATTCACAGTTTTTCTGTATTAAAAAAAAATCTTTCACCAACTCTGATTTTGTAAAAGACATTTCCCTATAATGAACATGGGATCAGGAGTGATCTAAGACAATTTATTGCCTACTTAAGGCCAGTATTTAAGTGCAATTCAGCCAACCTCTAACAAAGAAGATGGTTCTGTCTTTAGTACCCTTAAGAAATTATGATATCTGGATAAAACAACAACACAATTTAAGACTAAGGAGTGCACATTAAGAATGATCCATCCCTTATGACAACAAATCAATAAATATTACAGCTGTCTGTGAATTTAAAGAATGTAGATATTCCCAATTAAAAACAGAAACAAAATAATAATCTACCCAACTCAAATCAGCAGCAGGCTGCTGTATACTAACTCCCAGATACTGCAGATACAATAAAGTAGAAAATAGCATAAATCAACTGTTAAACTCTTAAAAAGGCATAACTTTTTCTGTTTAGTGTCTATGCCAAAATAGTGTCATTGGCAAATAAAACCCCATATTCACTCACACACACTGGGATTCTAACGCCATCTGGGTTTCACTCCTCATCCTTTCCCTACATTCTTCCACAGAATCCATACCACACATCCACATTACCCAATCTCACTGTCATCTCTTCTCTCTTCTTAAAATGATATGTCTGTGATATTATTTACTAATGGTTTGCAATTGCTTCTTCTTGGTTAAGGGTTTAAATGTGGTAAACAATACTTTTTTGGGAAAACTGAGACTTTACCAGTAATATGAGTAAACCCAAACACTTCAAAAAGGGCCACTTTGTGAGCCAGTCAGTCTGCACTCTAGCGTGCATTTAGCCCACCCTAGCTACAGCATGGTGAAAAAGCCTTATTTATCATGTTTACAGTCCTTTTCAACTGCTCGTGGCAGCTAAAGTCTAAACTCTAATCTCATCGTCATCATCCTCGTCCATGAAGGTGAAATCTCTCTCTCCTTCTCCCCCACGTGGGGAACTGTACTTTGCACTGTCCGTGTCAACGTCGTGGAGGCGGTAGTTAGGTTTCTCCTCAGAACCAGAGCTGGACACAGAGCAGCTATCCATATTGTGGTGGTTGTTCTTGGTTTGTAGCTCAGGGGTGTAGGGATCCACCATGGCTTTTTGCTGGTACATGCTGCGAGGAGGCCTTGCAGGGGCTCGCTCCTCTGCATCGTCATCATCTATGTGGGGAATGAGGGACGGCGAAGCATGGCCCTCGCTTCCCTTGCCTTCCTCGTAGCCAAGGTCATCCTCCTCCCAACCTTTCTTTTCCATCACGCTCAAGATGTCCCCGAGCATCGAAGGGCCCAGGTCAATGTGGAAGGACATTATAGACTCTGCGTGCTTCATCCCACCTCCCTTAGGCATGGATGGAGGCAAATCTGTAGGTTCGCCAAAATCCCGTTCTTCAAGCTCTGGATCAAGGCCTGCCATAGCTGCTGCTCCATTTAACGGCTTGCTTTCGATCTCATTCACCTTCTTCATTGGGCTTGAGGAAACGCTCTTTGGCAGTTGGATACCTCTGTTAGTACCCTCGTCGTTCAGGTACGGCAGGGATATGGCGGTCTTCACATACTGGGAGGAGCCGGCAGAAGATGCCATCGCGTTGTACTCACACTTGTCCGCCCGATTTACAGACTGAGATCGCTTGCTGTTTCTGAAGGTGCGGGACAGAAGCCCGGGCTTGGAACTTGGTGAGCCTTGCTTTTTGTCTGGCTCCCTGGGAGGTTCTCCTGAACGGGTGCTGAGAAATGAGGTGTCCCCAAAGGCATCGCCGCCTCGGCCCACGTGCATGGTGTGACGGAAGTCCCCCAGCGGCGCACTGATCATCTCTGCGGTCAGGTCAGCCCGAGACCTCCGCTTTGACTGATTGGAGTTGCTGACCAGTTGCTTAAGAATGGGCATGATGGCAGTCTTTTAGTAACGATCCACAGGTAAAATTTAAATTAGGATCTGAAGGTGGTCAGGAGAGTTCCTTTCAAAGTTTTTAGCAATTGTAAGGGATGTTGTCAAAGCACATATAACTTCAGGTGTTTGAGTAGAGCCATTCTGGTCCTTGGTTGAAAAAGCCTGTGGTGAAGAAGAAGAAGAAGGAGAATACAGAGCATTAAAACCACATCAGTAGTTCTGTAAACTAAATGTAGCTCTGCAACATGGCAGGCAAAGTGAAAACAAGTAAAAAATAGATTCCATTAAACTGAGATAAAAATGTAACATTCTGCTTTGAAGAAATCTTTCTATTCATTTCTCATTACTCACTATTGCATAAACCACTCTTTTCTGATCTCCATCAAGCATGGAAAGTTTGGTAGCCAGGGCTTCAAAATGAAGGCTCACTTGAGTGGTTCTAAACTCTAAAAGGTTTTCTATGCAGAAGACTGTAAGGGTGTTATGCAATCGTGAAAAGACTCTCTTGTACAAAGTTCAAAGCACCCTCACCTTACTCCAACCCAGTCACAATAGCCCCTGTGAAGTTCTACCATGGTAAACTTCATTCCTATTCAAATTAGTTCGATTCATCTAATACATTTTTGAGCTTTTTCTAAAAGTCTAGGGCTGCTGATGTGATCTGTTTTTCATGGGCTGCGGTGCCTGCCATCACTGCTGTGCTTTAGTTCCCATTTAGGCCCCTGGCTGTTACATAACCAGCAAGACACAGGATACTGTGAGCTAGAGCAGTTGAAGCTGGCAGAAATAAAAGAAAGAAGAAGAAAAAAAAAAAAGACCGAAGAGGAACAACATCTCTTCGGCATGGATCGACTTACAGCACAGCTCAGAAAACTCCAGACCGACTACATTTTGCTCTCACCCTCCCCTGTCTTCAAGAGATAAATAGTTTCCAAAAACTGCTTTTTATGTTATTCTCTTTTTGGGTGGAATTTGTCTTTTTAAACCCCATAGGCAACACTTGAACACTTCCAGCAGTGTATTTTGTTCCGTATTAATCTGTTTTTCATATAACAGACATCAATCAGCAACTTCTATTACATTTGTCTATAAAGCTTTAGTGAAAAGTAGCAGATTAAAAGGTTTTGAAACCCCCTTTGGAAAGCAGAATGATTCTTTCACAGATCAGTTTGATCTTTTCCATGCCAAATGACTATACAACTAATTTTAATCCTTAGACCAAACTGACCTTAAACCACTTAAACCTTGAAACATGATCTTAGAACAGAAATGCAGTGGAAAAGAGGTTTAAACACCCACTTATGTGCTAGCTACAGTCTACTAGCTCCATGTGTTTCTCACATTAACAATGGCTTCAATTGTTTAAGCCAGACAGAAATACCATTACTCTCAGTGTTTTCAAACTCACGCTGAAGCCCACGCTCTAGGGCTGCATGCGTATCCCCCATGAATGAAAGGGGGCTTCACTCAACAATATCCCAAAGAAACGTCACCCATGAAAACATTTGCATCTCTGACAAGAACCCATTCAATTGGAAAGGGAACTGATGCACTAGAGGGAACAGAGGGGGGCTTGATAAATGATAAAAGCTACTGCTCTTTTTTTTTTTTTTTTGCTCTTCTTTCAAAAGACAGATCATCCCCAAAGAGTACTAAATTCTATCCACTGCCACATTTTCATCTTCCATATTCACCACCTTCATTCAAGATTTCCCCAGTAGTTCTGGTGCTAATGGAAAAGACACATTGTTCTCACAGTGGTTGAACAAAGACCAAATGTAATAAGGATAGTACTCCAAAGGCTTATTTTCTTGTTCTGTTGTAAAAAGCTATTTGAGTTCAAGCTCACACCCATATACGTGACAACTGGAAAGAGCTTACTGTTACTAAAGCTATTTACGCCGCAACTGGGTGCCAAATTACAAGATTATAGCTTAAAGCAAACAAACACCACCAATATCCTCCGGAGCGGAGGCACTGTTGTTAGATTAATGCAGTATGATCCATCATTGGGTAAACCCTTTATTATTTCATGCATTGTGCAGTTGCCCCATTAGTATCTGCTGTACAAAAGATTGCTGAATGTGTGGGTGACCGCTAAAGACAACTCGTCATCTTACATGTTCCTCCCTGCTGCACAAAGTTTTGTATTTCTCTATGGCAACGTCAGAGCTGAGCGCTGGCTACCAAGTGGGCTTCCTGTCTCTAAGCTGACCAGAAACGGCGAGAAAGATTTTATCCCCTACATGGAGAGATCAACTCATTCAAATGGATTAACCCTTCCTGGTGACCACATGCCAGGCAATAAGAAAGTTCACAGTGCAATGGCTGAGGGGCGAAAGCTTTTGATGTGCCATGTGACTCGAAGACATTCAACCTCAGCATAAAAGATGTCACTGAGTTCTCGAATATCAAAAGGTGCAAACCTCACACCTTAAGTCATTCTAGGAAATGGCCCATTTTATGCCTTGGGGAGCCCCTTGGTCTTTGATGAGGAATAGTTTCAAAACCCCGCAGGGTCATCAAGACCCCATTATTGTGGCTGTGACAAAAAAATGAAGCATGACCTGCCTGGAGTCCTGTCATATTCAGTTTTAGCCTTTCAGTACTTTGTAAAAAAAAAATACATTATGAGAAATGACACTGTCATTTTCACCATTCAGTTTCAAAATAACACTCCAGAATGGTTCAATGCTCTCCATATGAAACGGTGACAGTGTTAAATGTTCTTTTACACAGAAAAGGGATGTTTCTTCTTTGTTTTTTAGTTCTCAGGGGAAATTTGTCCATGCTGTCATCAGTTATATGTACATGTAATGCTTAGATTGTTAAAGTCATTGGCAGCATGACTATCAGCACTATAAAAATTATTTTGGAAAAGCAAACAGATTCAAGGACTCATTTTCATTCACATCAGTAGAGTGTATTTGAAGAGGAAATGGTGACCTTTTAGATAGATCTCATTGCACAATAGGCGAGCGGGAGTATCTTATTATTTGGTTTTCTGTTTCTAGGTAACCCTTTGTTCTTCTCATTTTATTACTGTTACTAGCTAGATGAAAGAAATCAAAGTATGGGGCTTAACTACAACTCCGTCTAGACATCTAAATAGAAAATAATTTAAACACAAAAACGCTGTTATACCCGAGCATTTACTCATACATTGTGTTGAAAAGGAATTGGTTGATCAGTGATTCCAGTTTGACCTGCACACACTCCCAGCCCAGCTGGGGGCAAAATTCCATTTTAGCTCTTTTTCACACAGAAGATCATATTCCTATTGGATAGCTACTGACGCAACACAAAGAAGGCTTATACAAGTTTGTGTCAGAGCACTCAGTGTGCCTAAAAATATTGTTTTTTATTGCCATAAAGATATTGTTAGTTTGCTTCAGTTGAGAATCAGTTTTTTTGTTTTTTGTGCCAGTCAGTGACAAAGCCTTTATGTAATGGAGTCCCACATGACACTAGCTTGAACTGAGACAAGTGGTGACAGGGCCATGAATGATTAAGAGCATTTTATGTCGCCAGCAGAATGTGATGTGGGCAGAATGACATCACAACAGCCAACATGCTCATCAGCGCTCAGCGTAACGCTTGTAATCCTTAGGATCACAGGCGCCTTGCAGTCCTCGGCTATCCTGTGTCACTTTCTCTCCTTCCACTCAACAAAGAGGGGAAAGAGGCTTTGGCTGCTCATCCAATAACAACTTGGCTACTGTCATGTTAAACCAACCGGCATGCAGACTATATAAGAGTTTCTGTTTTTATCTTTGGCTCCATTTAAATTTTTTAAAGTGAGATGGAGAAACAGTCTATCCTTTTTTCATGAGGTGGAGGAGGCCTTCATGCAAATATTACAAAGAGTCAGGTGAAGGGTAAATTCAAACCTTGTTAGTTTTAATACTAGAATAACGAGCATATATTTAAGCACATAATGCACTGCCTAAGCTGTCTCTGCAATAAGAAAACTTCTGCTTGTTTTAACCTTGAACTACCCAGAGTCGTCTCTATAGTTCATTCCCATTGTCAGTGTCATTGATATGCAAATGAATATTCAAGTTAGCCAACGCCATCTATGACACTGCTAATCAGTTAATCAATGGAGCTGCATAACAATGGAACGTTCTTAACTCAAAGTGACAAAGAAGATTGGGAAATTTCATTAGCACTTATTCTGGCAGGCTCTAACCTTCACACCAAACATCTGATTCCCACGGGTGGGTGGGTGGGGGAAGAAGCACTGAAATAGCAAAAAGTTATATATAGAGAGAAGAACGACTGTTGAAAGGTGAAACAGATCACATTGCTGAAGGAGTTAAAAATAATACATTCAATTATTTATCTTATTTTACAGTAATTTGAATTTGGATTAATGTAAGTTCTGTGGTTATGTTCAAAAATGTTTTTGCAACATGTAAGAGAAATAAAAATACTATTAAATATGGTGCAAAAACTAAAGGATTAGGAGAACTCATGAACTATGTATGAGTCGGATTTCGACTCACATCATGTAACTGCAGCTCATTAGCAAAGCCTCCCTCTGACTTCACGGTGCTTTTTCATGTGCCTCAAAGTTTCTTCCAAGCAAATCTACTTACTTCCCTTAACACACCACACAGATAATAAATAATGAATATAAATATGCCGTTTGTTTTGGCCTTGCTTGGCTTGCTCCGCCTGCAAACAGCACCCAAAAACTAAATCAGAACTGCATCTAAAAAAACAAACAAAAAAAACAACAACATCTGACTAACACCATAAGACAGTAATGAAAGACTTTTGACGTAATTTTCTACAATAGCATGCTCTGCTACAGACAAATAAAAACAAACTATCATTTGCTTCTTTGCTTATTTGTTACTGCCTGACACATAAGGAACCTGTTCTTCCTGTTTAACTTCATTTATAGTTACCTAGCTCCAAGGCAAACCTTGCATGATAAACAGCAAAAGTATCCTGAGCAGAAACATGCAGAATGTTATGACACTAATGGCCTCACCCCTAAACAGTAAAGGATATACATACTTAACACAGGTGAAACTGACTTGTACAAAGTATGATTACATGGTGAATGGATCCCACTAATATAAGCACGTCTAGAACACGCTCTACCCGCTTATTCGCAAGTCTCACTGCATATTTCAGAGAGAAAACAGGGA